ACCCCCCCCCCCCCCCCCCCGGAGGGGCATCTATGGGAGAGAGACCTTATGCGTCCGCGAATACGAGAACCGCATGAGAGATAGCGAACCTTGCTGACGACTTTTAATCCGACGAGACTTCATCGTCTTTGTTTTTTTTTTAATTTGTAGTCATCTTTTTCTCATTCTTCAGGAGTTGGTGATATTCCATGCTGAAAATCATTGGAGGATAAAAATGACGGGTGGATTTTTTTTCAATTTTCAATTTAAAAATCTGACAACGAGTATCGCGAATACGTTGAGTCTTAAAAGTGAAATTTTCGATTTATAAGGGAATTTTTCCTTGGAAAATTTTTAAGAATTAATAATTTAATGTGAAAAAAAAATTAATGTGATACAAATTTTTGTGAAAATTAGTGATTTTTAAAATTGGAAAAATTGTAGTTTTTCCGATGCATTTTTTTCAATTTTTAAAAATTATTATGTCACAATGACGACATTTATCATTTATCCTCCAATGTATTACTCCATCCCAGTGTATCGCGATCTTTTTTCATTTATCACAATGTTATTCGGTATCTTATCCGGTGTAAAAATTCGCTTGTACGACATTTTATATGCGCCAGTAAAAGATCATGTCAAGAGGAGTAGCTCGTTCCCCCTGATTCGGTGTTGTCCCTGAGTTAGGATCTTGAACTTGAGGGTGATATAACGAATGATACAGGGGAATGGGTGAGAGTGTTGGCGCATCCCAGTGTTATACCGAGAGGCGTGAATATATTGTTACAATCGCAAGTTGGATGGACTCGCATTGTGTTTAGAAACAGCGATGCGCTACTGGCGCACTTTATCGCGAATACGTCTGACCGAGCTATTGAGTACCGTGTGAACATCAGGAGAAACGAAAACGATTCTCTTTGCTGGACGAAGCAGAAAAAAAAGTTCTGAAGTCTTTGCGTTTCGAACTCCACATCGTCAAATTCTAGTTTACCATATTTCCATCTCAACCAAAAACAAAAAAATCATAAACAGAAAAATAGTTTTTTTGTGAAATTCTCATAAATTTGAAATTTCATTTAGGCAAAAAAATTTGATTCTATTCCCAAGAGTTGAAATCCCATTTCCTCGACTTATGAAAGTGTCTAGTCGTTGACAAACTAATCCTCGTGTTATAAACTGAATTAAATGCAAAAGCTACACAGCTGACAGCACACTCTACACTCTCGCGTGGGCAAAGTCCCCACGTGTAATGTCTCAATTCCAATAAAAACGAGCAAGTTGTGTAAAGAAATGTTGATAAAAAATCCGTTCAACGTAAACATAAATTTTTTGATTTTTCCCTTTTCACCGAAAGAAAATCAGATTTTATTAATTTGAGTTACGAGTCAGATTGAAACATTAATAAACATGTACATCGTAATTTGTGTGAAGTGATTCGTGCGGTTTGTCAAGTTGAGTTTGAAAATTTCCTTCGATGCGTGAAAGCACCCTCGTTAAAAATTGCTTTTAATCGTCTGAGTTAGTCAAGGGTTTCATGTAGAGAAATGTTATATATTTTTTTTATAATGTATCGAGACTCCTCCCAGCCTCTTGCGCGTTATAGGGCCTCTCTCTCCCTCCGTGTCGAGGGTTTTCCACAAGCACTTGGGTAACTCAAAGGGGACACGCGGATTTATCCATAATTATTCCGAAAATTGATTTAAAAAATTGTCGAGGGGGTGTTAATGAATGGTGTGGCATTTATTTCTAGGTTCTTGAGGATTTTTTTAGGGGCGAAATGACTATCATTTTCCGGGTATTAATACATATTTGATGTTGGCTCAATGGGGTATACACGGCAGTAAGTTCACCGCGGTGTGAAGTGGCCCCTGGTATTCCCCTCCGCGGTAAAAGCCAGGTCGTCCAGACTAACCCTTTTCACTTCGCCTATTATCTGCACGCGTTTACTCTCACTCTACACTTTTTTTTGTTATTATTTACGGGCATTGGCGAAAAGTGAAGTGGAATTGTTGTCGTGTCGTGACATTTTTCACCTTGTTGTTTCATAATTTAAAGAATTTATTTATTTATTCAGTCAAGGTTTTAACGATTATTTCTGATGACTTTTTTATTTTCGAGTGGCAATAATGGATAATGGTCTTCTCAGTGATACTGTGTTAAAAAAAAATTGCGACAAAAAATGGTGGGCACTCATGAGGCAATGTTATTCAATTGCAAATATTATTGCTTTTCAAGTTCTCCAAACAAATCCTTATCGGTCACTTAAAATTTTGCAACTAAAATTCATCTCTCAATCCTAAAATGAACATCTCTCATATTGAAAAAAAATCCTGAAATATTCGTGACATCCAATTGCTAGAAATATTTTAAAAATCTCAAATGCTCAAATACTAGAAGAGAAACGGAAAACTCTATTTTCCACCAATCGTCTCCCGGTGAGTTCATAGGGGTCATAATTTACCCCCATCCACATACAAGACTCTGGATCCGATACCGTCGCGACGCGAGGCCAAAGAGTCTTCGAGGAATAAAATAGAAGAGAAAAAATAGCGATTGAAGTAAAAGAGGGATAACACCATCGTAAGAAGGACTGAGAGAAGAGTATACCCCTGAAGAAAGAGAGGGTTGAAATAAGAAAAAAAATGACGAAAGGGGTGAAAGGGGGTAGGGGGATCGGTAAGGTGATGGAAGGGTGTTCGGCAAAAGGGCGGGAGGAAGTGAGTCGGGGAGTTGAAAATATGAGATCTGCGAAGGGACCACCTAGCCAGCCTCCGGTTCCACTGCGTTTTCAACCCCACTCTAATTCCCTCGTACTCACCCTTACCTCTCTGTCATGCTCACCGCTGTGTGCTCACCTCCTCTCCCCCTCTGAACCCCTCCCCACTCCTCGGCAATTCCCCCACCACAGTAACATTGTCTCGAGTACGGGCGTTATTGTTGACAGTAGTGGGGATAAAATGGGCAAGTTTATTGGTTATTCAGTGGGACGTCTTACCCCCACCATTGTCATTTGTTAACGCCCTACCCCCACCATTTGTTGAGCGCCTCCTCCATGCATTGGATCCAACACTCGGTAGCTCTTAGTTTCAGGTTAGGAGCCTGCTTGGACGGTCTTGGGCTTCAGCTTGAGGGAGCCGTTTACACACACCGTAGTATTTATTGTTAAAACGCGGCAACTGTGTGTGATGTGAGGGGGCTTTAATTATCATCTCGTGTATACAAATAACAAGACAGTTTTATCAAGAACAAATAAATTGAACAAAGGACTTTTTAATTGTGATTATCCGCTGGAAATTAATAATCATAGATTATTGAGTTTGATTTTTGTTTTGGAGTTTACTCACCTTTGTTTTTTTGAGAAAAATTTGAGTCGTCTGGACGGACTCGAGTGGTGCGTCGGAAAACGGATTGTTATCCAGAGTGAAGTAATATTTATAAATTTATTTTTTTGCCAATCAATCATCAAGGATTATTACCCGTGGGAGATTTCACCGTTTTTTACACGTGCCTGATAGACCACTGCCACTCTCAAAGAGAAGTGACGGACGTTAAAAAACATCAAGCATAAGAAAATTGACCAGTGATCATTGGAAACGTGACAAGTGTTTTTTCTCATTTGAAAGTTCTGTTACATCGCACGTTTTTTATTCAACACGGCGGGAAGAAACTGTTTGAGTTTTAACGAGCTCCGCATAATTGTGATTATTTCATGAGAACATCGATGTTATTGACAAGTGATTGAGTACTGTGAACACTGGGGCTCTCTTGTTTATGGACATTAATCAAAGTGTGGATATTATAATGAACTTTAAAACGAGTAGTTGATGAAGAGAAGGAAAATTGTGAAGGGTTCGAATCAAGGCGATGACACGTTACAGGACGAGACGGCGTCTGTATTCAGTGAAAATAGGGAAAAAACAGTGACAATTAGTGTGAAGGAGAGATATTTGAAATTTTTCTCCAGTCAAAAATTGGAGTAAAAGTAAGGGAGGATAATGCCATTCTGTACGCATACAGTTGGTGATAATTTGGAGTGACTTGAATAATATTATCCGGCGTCGTGTCTCCGTACAAAGATAAAAGTGAGGGCGAGGCGGTGGAGAACGACGACCGGAGGTGGATTTTTTTTAAACCATCCAAGAACATCGAAGCCGTCAAAGTGGCTTCGTCACTGGGTCTCCAGGGGCCATCAGCGCCAATTGGTGCCCAATTGTTGGCTTCTGGTGGTACTGATGATGCAGCTACCGCTACAACCGTTTACCACGCCAATCTGGTAACCGGTAGTAATACATCGGTGACAGCGGCACTACAGCAGCCAATACTTAATTCATTGAACTCAGCAGCGGCTCTTGCAACTATGCAGGCCTCTGCAGAGACAAATTCACTTGATCTGCAAGCGATGCAGTCCATGGATTGGTTGTTTAAGAAGGAAAGGATCTATCTACTGGCACAGTTCTGGCAACAGGTAAGACGATATTTTTCTGTTTTATCTGTTTCCATGCGACAGGAAAATGTGTGGGGATTGTGTCAAGTGGTGATGAGGTAAACTATGATAGGGGGGAAGTTTAACTAATCCGGATTTGGGTATCAAAGAGGGTTGAGTATTAATGTCTCCCACTGTGTGACCCGTCGACTTCGCCGTGATGAACTTAACGCGGAGATCAGTGGAATTGATACTGGGGTGCAAATCAAATTTCCAAGGGGTTCGTTATCATTTTTCGAAGATTGAAGTTTGGGGAATTAATTTTTGAGGAATTGAGGGATTATGTCGAAGTGACTGTGAGGAAGTTCATTCGACGTTGAATTTTCGTGACGTGGGAAAATGTATCACAAGTCGTTTTCTCATGCGTTGGAAAATATTACGTGTTCCAGTCGCTAGTGATTTTCAGAGTAATTGTTAATAGGAATTTTTTTCTGGGAATTTCGTCAGTTAAAAAATGGTTTTTCGATGTTTCTGTTTGATAGTACTTGTTGTTGAGATGGAGGTCCATGCAGCAAGAGTATAATATTCGACTTATTATTTTTTGCCACTTCACTAGCGTGCAACATTGTCAGCGTCTTCATTAAAAAAATGATTAGGGACTCTTAAAAAATCCAAATTGAGGACATTCGTTCGCGAAAAAGTTAAAGTGCCAGTGTACAAAAATAATGCGAGGCTGTAAAAAACTTCATTGCTATAATTTTTCAATTATTTAACTGTTCATTCGATCATCAATAAAGTTGCTGATTTTTTTCGCTTAATTGGTGAAAGGATTTTTCCTCGTTGAATTAATTGAATTCTTCTTCTTGAAAAATTAAAATGTGTCAGTTGGTGAATCGTCGGAGATTGTGACACGTCTCCCTCCAATTACCCCATGGAAATAAAGTTTAAGATACGATTCGACAGTGCAATAATGACTCCGGGGATAATTTGACAGTGAAAGAGGGAATTTTGTGGCCTGCGGAGTTTGCTCTTGAGAAATTTCCAAGAGTTATAATTTTCAAATGGCGGAAGGGGGTTGAGAGTAATGTCGCAAAATTGGTGAATTCATAAGTGCAATTATGAAATTGTCTACCGTCAATGTAGTTATCGCTTCTGGTTCTCGAGATAATCGTTGTAGTACGTGTTTTAGTGTGTCTACTCGCATAAGTAACTCAGACTTTATTGAATTGTTTTTGACGACGTTATAGTTGAATTATTGTTCCACCGTAGACTATGCCAACGATAATAGAAATTATAATTCAATAATTTCGTGTCTTCTTGCTCATAATTTTCGCTGATGTAATGATTCACTCAATCGCTCATGATAATTGCCTTAAAAATTCTCAGTTTTACATTCTCAGAAACATCGATGAGACATTCTTCTCGTGTGACAAATATTTCTACCCACAAAGTGGGCTTAAAAATAGACCACGTAAAATCACAAAAAATCGACACTTCTGTGTCTTTATTTACATTTTTTTGGAGCTGCCAAGAAGCGAGGCTGAAGCGTTACAACCGAATGGCCGAGTCGTCCTGCTTCGGACGCTGAACGAAAAATGAAATAGAAATAATAAAAGTCCGAGATGACTTTCATTGAAATTCAATCGACTTCGGTAGTCCTCAGATCGTCTTTCATCATCCACTTTAAACACAAGTGATTTCGTACGGTACAGACATTAGGTGCGAAAGCGAGTAGAGGTCGATGCCGGGCCGGTTTGAGGATAGTTCCGGGTCAAAGTTTCCTTTGCCTCCCTCTTTACTCTCCCTCTCCCCTGCAAATGCGGTGCGGTACTTGGGTGTTTGGTGAAATAGTTGGGTGATTCAGGGTCGCTGTGGTGGTAATGCCGGCGCGCGCGAGATCACGAGACTGTCGGAAGGACGAGAGAGACTTTGTGGCCCACATAAACATTCTTCATGTTTCCCAAAACGCACAAGTGCGTAAGTTTCTTACTTATCGGATGTGTCTCATTTACCATTGGCGAAAAATTGTTCATCTCTGAAAATAAATTGGATTTAGGTCCAAGAGAAAAGAAAGCGAAAAAAAATGCAGAAAAAATTCGCTAGCTTTTTTATTATTAAGTTTCAATTTCTCCTCTATTATATAAAGTAACGCGTAATTGGTTTAATAACGTGCAAACTCATATCCAGCGTCATACGGATTACAGATCGTATGTGATATTAACAGCGCTCGGTGTATTAACAGTTAATCCCACTGGGTTTCATAATCACTGGATTCATTGATTAGGCAAATCATTTTCAGAATTAAAAAGAATTGTAAAAAAATACTCCAAAAATAATCCTCATCATTATGAGTCCCAGGGACACTCCGCGAACAACTAATGAAAGATACTTCTCGAAAGTAATAATCGATTCCTATAAATATCTCCCGAAACCTATCGCAAAATTCTTGGAAGAAAGGAAACAAACAGATGTCTCAAAAACGTAGGAAAAAAAACCTGCAAAAAAGGGTGAGCGATGAGGATCGAGTGAGCGCGAGAAAGCAAAAGGGAAAAATAAAAGCCAGAATAAGGATGATTCGGCAGTGATCGCTCCGCGGGCGAATGCACTCTGCTGCGCGTTTTCTCTCTCACTTGACTACAAAATCTCAAGTGAAAGAGAAAAATATTCTAATGAAGAGAGGAAAAGTCGCAAATATTCTTTACAACTGTCTGTTCTATATCTGCGCTAATATAGAGGGGAAACGAAGACGCAATTTTCCGGCTTTCCGATTCTCCGCGATTTCACCTTTCAGTTGGAACAAGAGAAATTCAGTTTCTGAAAGATCGATTCACCGGGCATTCCGTAAATTGAATTAATCCAGTATAAATAACAACGGTGAAACAATTTGTTGTTTTGAAAAATGAAAAATTTATCTGCGTGGAGAGACTAATACATAATAAAAAGTGGCGAATTTAACGTGCGCGTCGTGTACCGGTTACTCCCCCGAATGAGATTATATTATAGATGTCCAGACACACACACACAAAATCATAAAGGATCAAGTCTGAATGGACAAAACTTTAACATCCACATTTTCACGTATCTCTCTCTCACTCGCTCATCTCTCGCCCCCTCTCCCTCCCCACTCCAATTGACTCTGCCCCACGTAGTTGTCCTTTTCTCCCACCACGAGCCCCTCCACAACTCGCCGGGTTGAGGGGAAAGGGGAAGTAAAGGGGGGGACTCCAGAAGTTACCGAAATTTCCGTGTGGCGGCAGCACTTGCCGAGAAGTCATCAGACGGCAGCCGGAGAGGCGCGTGTGTGAGTCACGCGGGCGGGAGATGCCACTGGAGTATTTCAGAGAAAATAAATCGTGATGAACGATGACTGCCATGGGAAAGCGTGGGACAACTGATATCAAGGATAGACTGGAGGGAATTTTAAGTTGGAAATATTTCATAAGTGCTCTAGTCGGTAGATGAAAATTATTCGTTATTTCGAGAGACAGTTCTTATATCGATGTAAATTTTACTTGAAATAGAGAAATTCTAGTCTAGGCCTTATTTCAAATTCAGGGTAGTACCTCGAGAGGAATGATTCAAGTCGAGACGCATGCACATGCTATGGGTTTATTATTCTCTGTTGGAGCGAAACAAGAGTGGCTACATCGTTTGTATTACGGCGATGAGTGAGTCGCGTGACGATGAGTCAAACCCTGCGAATCCACGAATTCATATCTCGTTCGGAGAACATAAAATGTGGAGTAATTTCTAATTGTAATTAGGTATCGATCGGTGACTAATTACCATAGATAATTTATCGTTACATTTTCTTGCTTCCTTTATGTTTAATTTAATGACTAATTTGACTACTTTGGACAAAGAATTGATTTCCCATCGATTTATTTCAAACACACGCACGGAGAGAAATATTCAGTAAAAATTATGGAATTCACAAGTCGCTTACCGATTATGAAATCGAATCAGAAATTTTAAGTGACGGTATCCTAGTTTTTCACAAGAGATTCAGATAAAAATTACGGAGCGCTCTGTGAAAAATTCCGTGACAGTTCCGTAAAATTTCCTACAACCACATTTCGCTTCAGAATTACGGAAAAGATCCGTAATTTGTATTGAATATTTCTCTCCGTGTGGGGAGAAATATTCAGTAAAAATTACGGAACAATTCACGTAATCTGCAGTGGAAAATCGTTTTCCGACAATTTTTATTGGAATGGAAGAGAAGAAAGCTGAAACGTTCAGTGAATTCTCAAATTCATCACCGAATAAAGTTCAAAATTGTTGCGTAATTTTTCCCGAAGAAGTAAAATCTTGCAGAAACTTCCCGACTTATTATGCCAACAAAATCAAAATTCTTGAACGTTCAACAATTTTTAGGAAGCTGGTGAGTTATTTCTATGTTTCGTTCCGTAAAATTTCTCAATCGTTGGGGAAAATTTATGGAACGACTTGTTGTTCCCACAGCCGTGAGTGACCAGACGGGTGGTTAATTTTTACAGAACAAATCGTAGAATTTACGTGGTGATTCCTACAATTTCAGTTCCGACTCACACTTTTTATTGAATTTTACTTCGCTCGCGGATTACGCCTCGAAACATAATTGTTACTTTTTTTTTCTGGTAATTTTTATTTAATTTTTGTCTCCGTACACAAGTAGTAACAGCATTTGAATTGGCTTGTAAAAGAGAAAGAGAGTGCGATGCGCGGGTCGTTGAGAGGGGAAATACTTGTGTGGGTCTCGCCAAACAGTGATTCATCCATGGTTCATCTAAAAATATATATTCGAAACACCACGCGATGATCGTATTAGCTTACAAATCAAATTCTTAAATATTGAAAGAAAGCAAGAGGCAACGTTAAAGTGTTTTTGTCAATGTATGAATGGATTAATGGTAGGCAAGATTGAGATAATTGGTGGGACTCCTGAATGTATGGGAGCAGACCACCGTGGTGAAAGCCACCAATGTCTCCTGGACTGTTGGGTCACCGACACGAATGATACATTGACTGTCGGAGACGTGAGATGTCGATGCCGCTCATGT